CAACAAGAACAATAAAGAAAATATGTTGTTAAAATAACATTTCATTATTACAACATAACTGAGTGGAAAGAATATGTGTGGTAGCACACATTATAGCATGTTAGCATTTTTAAAAATGACAAATATGTATACTTTATTTTATTTTATTTTATTTATTTTTTTTACACGCACTCATATATTTCTAATATAATTGTTATAAAAAAATTTATACAATTATTTGTAGTTATAAATATATGAAGTATTCTAAAATGAATTCCTAAAAAAATTAAAATAAAATTATATTACATAAAAAAATTTTTTCGGAATTTTGGAATTGTAATTCGAATATGCTAAATGTGCTACATAATTGGCAGACTCCCTGTAGTACAGCTGTAGGCCTCTTGTTGGAAGACTCTTGCTTCAGACAGCTCAAATGGTCTGTTTGTTGTGTGCTTAGGGAGGCAGCTGGCTCACGCTTGATAAGGTTACTAGCCCTCCTCGACTCGCTGGCATCTCAACGGGCTTGCAAATCAGCCATGTTGGCTCTACTGGGTGGATCTGCACGCAATGAGGGCCGGAGTGATGGGAAAGTGGAGGACAAACTGTCAGACCTTTTTCCCTCGCTGGTTGCCATGCTTGTCCTACCTGCAGATGCTGCGCTGTCAGCACAGCAGAACGCTGAATTGACAGCTTCCATCCTTCAGTCACTATGTGACCAGGATGTGTCACTGGTTGTGAGCGGCTCGGGTGAAGCCTCAGTGTCTGAGGCAGAGCAGCTGGCCAACGCACTGCCGACCAGAGACATGATGACGTGCATATGTGACGGGATGCTGGAAGTGTTGGGAAATACACACAGCAGCTACACGCTCCAGCTCACTTGTCTGCGAACCATGATGTTTCTCACTGAGCACGACTACGGTCTCTATCACCTGAAAAGGTATCACAATGTGTTTGATGGCATTTTTGCTTATTTAAGGGTGCACAGTGTATTTGTTTTTACATTTGTGTAAAATAATTTTTGAACACAGTTAAATTTAATCTTTTTTTGAAATCCTATTTTTACTTTTACATTTTTTTTTAACAGATAAATATAATCTTTTTTTTTTTTATCTCTTAATCAATATCCATTTTATTTTACTTTACATTATAATATTAAGGCCTAAATTCACTTGTAGAATGTAAAATAATTTAGTTTATTTTTTAGTGTTTTCTTTTTTATTTAGATAAAATAGTATATGAATTTCTATCTGTTGGTTAATCTGGATGCTCCAATAATTATCGGAGCATCCCTACCCTTCTTTACAGCAAAATGAAAGATTCTTGTGTTTGTGTTGCAGCTCTCTGAAGAGAAACAGCTCGGCCATTTCCTCTCTGATCCGCAGGGAAACCACATCCTTTAACAAAGAGTTAACTGAGCTCCTTTCAGCCCTCTTTGACTTTTTGAGACAGATTGTGAACAATGAAAATATGGTAGGCCGACAACAGACTCAGTGCTTTTTTTTGTGCATGTATGCATGTATATGCTAATGCATATTCTTTATGCTACATAGGATGAAGACATAGACAGTCGCTCTTTGGCTCTTAGTGTAAGTGACATGAAGCAGCTGCTGCAGTGGAAGGAGGACTCAGGGGAGCATCCGTTATCAGAACTGGAGAAACACATTATGGTACATGTGGCAGTTTAGGTTATATATCATAATTAAGCTGTGCCCTATAGCCTGACCTTCTCTCTCATTTTCCCATTTGTGCAGAAGCTCTGTAAGGAGGATGAGTCTTTAGAGACTCTGCTCGAGAATGTGGCTGGACTGCGACAGATTATTGAAAGTTCTGGAGATGCCCCAGCTAATGCAGAGCCTGAAACAGAGCCCACTCTACCTGCACCAGAGCCCCTCCAGACACAGTTCAACCACAGGTAGTACAGACACCGAGAGTAATTATGTGTGTGACCAGGGTTTTGTAGTTAACTAAAACCGTTAAAAAAATGTATTACTTGAAATAAACTTTAACTGAAATAAAAATATAAAAAAATTAAACTTATTTCAACTAGTAGTCTCATTTTCATTTAGTTAAATTAACCCCCCCCCCCCCCCCCCCCAATCTACTTTCAGGACGGTTTTTGTACTCTCGGATGTTCTGGATGAGCAGTTAAAGGCCCTGTGGTTCTCTCCATTCCAGTCAGATGAGATGGAGACAGATGTTGATATGGTGAGACCGACGTGTGTTTGCAGGAGCAATAAATGTATTTGTGATTTAAATATATGATCAAACAAAAACAAAAAATTTTAAGGTAACACATTTTTGTTTTCCTTGTTTACAGAAGTTTTAGAATCATTATTCATTATGGAGTCTGTTCATTTTGTTGAGTCTGGATTATAAATTAATTAAAAAAAAAAGTATTAATTGCTTGTTACGTGAAGTTGTTCATGTGAGAATTGTTAATGTATGTGTTGCAGGTGAAAGTAGACATAGTTGCACTGGCCCAGCAGTGTTGCCCAGACTTGGACCTGAAGGCGGAGTTAGAACGTTCGTTCCTCAGTGAACCTGCTTCCCCAGGACACAGCAAACCACCCAAAGGCTTCAGACTGGGCAAACACAAACATGAGACCTTCATCACGTCCAGGTACACAACGTGTTGTACCATTCTAGTCAGAGATTACTACTTTACCTTGAATGTATACAACTACAAATCATTTTCTTCATTTGCAGTGGGAATTCAGACTATGTGCAGCCTGCGAAACGAGCTCATTTCATGCCAGCCCCTCGGGGTCGGGGGCGTGGTGCGTTTGGCCAGCTCTCTCGACCGCATGACATTTTCCGTCAGCGCAAGCAGAACACCAGTCGGCCTCCATCCATGCATGTTGATGATTTCCTTGCTGCAGAATACAAGGACGTGGGTCAGCCCACTGACCTAGCCCTGCCCAAACGCCCACCAAAAGGAGGAGGAGCCAAGCCACCGACTAGAGGCTTGTTTACTGGAGGAAACAGAGGGAGGGGCTTCCAGAGTCACACACGCTTCTTCACTCCACCAGCCCCCAAGAGTGTTCTGCTTGCTGGTACACATATATGTTTGACTTGGCACATATATACTCCGTACTACTCCTATATGTGGCTGATGGAATCCATGACACAATATATAAAATAATTTGTTTGTTTTAGGTAACTACCCTCGTCGTGAGGGTGGTCGTGGATCTACTTGGAGCACGCCAGTGACAGCTGACACTCATAGAGGGACTTACAGTGAACCTCGTGGAGGGCAAAGCAACTTCGCCCGACCATTACCCTCCAGACAGCCACCTACAGGTAGGCCTTAAAAAAAAATATATATATAAATATTTTTTATATATATATATATATATACAGGTGCATCTCAATAAATTAGAATGTCGTGGAAAAGTTCATTTATTTCAGTAATTCAACTCAAATTGTGAAACTCGTGTATTAAATAAATTCAGTGCACACAGACTGAAGTAGTTTAAATCTTTGGTTCTTTTAATTGTGATGATTTTGGCTCACATTTCACAAAAACCCACCAATTCACTATCTCAACAAATTAGAATACTTCATAAGACCAATAAAAAAAACATTTTTAGTGAATTGTTGGCCTTCTGGAAAGTATGTTCATATGTATGTACTCAATACTTGGTTGGGCCTCCTTTTGCATGAATCACTGCATCAGTGTGGTGTGGCATGGAGACAATCAGCCTGTGGCACTGCTGAGGTGGTATGG